TTTTTAACCGGCCGATCAAAATAGCAGCAGCAGCAGCATTAGAGCAATGAATATGGTGATGACAGTGGCCATGAAATATGAGTGATTTTCTCAGATGAGATGATCTGCATCAGGACCGATGCAAAAAAAAAAAAAAAAGTCCTGCTTTAAGCCACAGGAGCCACGAGGAGCCTGACGGGGGAGAATGACCACGGCGCCGGTGCGGATGACAGGATTGATGATAACGATGAATGTGGCAATTATTTAGATGAAATGGGATGAGATGTGACAGGAGGAGATGATGTTCTGTGCGGTGCTCAGGTGTGCCATTTCTCAGAGGCACCATTTGTCGTCCCACCCCACACCCCCCCCCCCCCCTCTCCCAGCAGGTTCCTCTCTCCAATATTTATAAGAGGGCAGGCGTTCAGAATACAGATAAGAAGCTGTGCCATTCAGCCACCTGACTTTAAGACCACACTTTGCATCGCTGCCCTTTTCCTGGTCAATATTTTCACGAGGGAGATCCTGTGGCCCCAAACACAAGATCTGACCTTTTGGAGAATGTGTGTGTGTGCGTGTGTGTGTGTGTGTTTGTCTATAGTCACCAAACTCTCTTTTCTATTAGCATCAGTGTGTAATAGTTTAATGTCGATGTTCCCTCATTCTCTTTTCCACAAACGGAAAGGCCAGCGTTGGTGTGCTGCAGCTTTGTTCTTTCATCAGTCTTGAGAGAGAGAGAGAGTAGTTTGTTTTTATGGACTCCCTCTGCTTCTCTCTAATGCCTCTTTACCAGGTATCACGACCGTCACTCCACCTCCACTCAGCCTCACTCTCTCTCTCTTTAACCAAACCCTTTCCTTCTGTTTATTTTTATTTGTTCTTTACTCACAAATTCATCAACACGTCTGTCTTCACATCCTCCGTGTGTTGTTCTGCCAAACACGCCACGGGCGCCATTTATTCCCATCAATAATTAACGCTAGGCTGTCCTTGCATCAGCGTTTATGTCAAGGTGTCTCTGACACACCAAACCCAACCACTTCTGTGTAGAAAACGGTGTGAAAAAGGTGTGTTTTTCAGCGAAGGTGTAAATAAAAAAAACTGCTGCAGACAAATTCCACCTTGGCAAAATTAAGGCTCATTCCCTCAACCTCTCGGTTCCATTTTGTCACATTTATCTCCTCACAACAAAGTGATAAACGAATCAGGAGTCGGAGCCAGAGGCTTTGAGCTCATTAAGTGGAAAAAAAAAAAACCCTCACTGTAATCAGGTTCTGCCTTTAAAGCGTTTGTATTAAGTTTCCTAAATTTAAACCCAGGCGGCAGAAAAAGACATGAAGAGAAAAGAGGGGAGACGTGAAGTGTCACTTGATTTCCTCTTCTTCTTCCTCTCCTTCCTCCTCCTGTGCTGTAACATCCTGCTGACTCTCTCTCCCTCTCCCTCTCTCTCTCTCCTCTTACTCCCTGTGGAATTCCAAATACCAAAGCAGCAGAGATGAAACATTGCCTCTCCTTTTGTCTTGCCCTCCCCCGGGGATGGTGACAAGGGGAAGGAGTAGAGGAGCCATAATTAAGACACCTAAAGGACACTTCCCCCTTGCACCTCCCTTCCTGTCACTCACCTCTGCACCAGTCGGAGATAAGAGCGCTCAGCATCTGCCTGTTGTGTGGCTGCCTCCGCACTGATACGTATCTCTGTGCAAAACGCTTTGGTTTCGTGATTGATTTTTCACCCATTTTAGTCGCAATGTTTAAAATTTAATTAACAGTAGAATAGAAGCCCCGTTAGCGTTTACAGTATAGTCGAGAGCTACGCTGGATGCTAACAGCCAGACAACGCAGCAACGTGACTTTTCTATTTTTTAATGGTCAATGAAATGAAACTTGAAAAAAATAAAAAATAATCTAAAACTATTATTCACTTTATATATTTAAAATCTGGAGTTGAATGATGCGAATAAGAACTGTCAACTTGTTGAACCTGTTAGCCTTCTGCGCTAACTTTTAGCCTGTGTTGTTTAGACTACTGAAGTAGTCTACTATTAAAAGTTAGTTGTTGAATTCTTGCGTGATAGAGAACAAATTGGACTTATACATCAGACTGGCGTGACTTTCATATGACTTTTGTCTCTTTGTGACTTCTTGTTTACAGTCAATGTTTTTTCCTGTGGTGTAGATAACGGTCGTAGTCGTAGAGTCGAGTAGAGTCGAGTACTTTGACTTATTCACATTATTCGTACATTTACTTAGTTACCCAATTATGTAGTAGCCCTGCAGTACAGTACAGTACAGTACAGTACATACAGTCCAGTCCAGCTTCAATAATGTGAAGTGGGTGGAAAACAGATCTGACCTTGAATACGACTTTGACCGTGGTACTGTAGGGGCGTTAGTGCCAGAGGCTGGTTTGATTATGTCTGAAGCCGTGGTGTCTCTCCTGGGATTTTCACCAACAACAGTGCATTGACTTATTACTCATAATGGTCCGAAAACAAACATCCAGGCTGCAGCAGCTCTGCAGGAGAGAATTCCCTGTCGATGACCAGGGGTTAGAGGTGAACGGGAAGACTTGTTTGAGTTGATGCAAAAAAAGCCTCAGCCACTGGTTTCTAACGCCAGTGAACAGCTTGGAATGCACAGCACATTGGAC